AAACAGACAATTCCACCCCGGAAGCAATAAATGCTACACCATGCAAAACCAATGGTCGCCTGCCCAGAAGGGAAAGGGAGAGAAGGCGTCATATCAACATAAAACTTCTTGGTTATACACTTGGATGGGAGTATGTCTGCGTGGGAGGTCGGCATGTGTTAAAGGGGGTAATAAAGGGGCCAAGGTAGGGATTCAGGGGATGAGAAGAGGAGACAGATGGGATATTCAACCGTCTGGCATGTGTATGTATATATGTACGCGTTTGCATTAATGTCAAGTACATATTATATGTGTCGGTATGGATGATGTGGGTGGTTGAATGAGCGAGCGAGCAATCCCGCGTGCAGTCTGATTTGCAACGAAAGCCAAGAAGAAGCCACGTAATGGCAGCATACCTCACCCATCCTCACAAACAATACACGAGGAGAGATTAAGCCAAATTCCACCCTTGTTAGGGAGAGAGATGAGTCGACAAGTGGAGAGAGATCGGAGGAAGGAGGGAGCAAGAGCGGGACATCCAAACACACCAAAAGCGCAGTGAGGCGAGGTCAAAATGCGTTGTCGATCGTCATCTTCATCTTCATCTTCGTCAAGGTAGAGGAGAGGAGTACCAGTAGTAAGTTGTGTGTGACATATATACAAAATGACGGCGGTAAAGGGGAAGAGACAAACCAAGTGATAAATAGAGTTGGCCGTGGTGAGATGTAAATGACGCAAGGCTAATGTACAGGTGGTGATCCGACTGCTGCTTTAATGCTAATGCTGTAGAATAAGGAAGTATACGTGCGCGACAGATAGAAAGGAAAATTTACATTTAGCTAAGTCGAGAGAAAGGTAGTCGGAGGGTAAATGCAACTTGAGACATTACGGAATGACAGCAGGGAGAGGAGAGTGCGCGCACCTACGCGCCTAACAAATGGGTGAAGTCCGTCTGTCTGATGCGCGTACAATGTCCTGTTAACTGGATATCGGAGTAGGAGGAAGGGCAGAAGAGTCGGTCTTAGTGCGAAGAAACATTGGAGGCGGAAGAGGCAACCGAGCCTGCGCCGTAGATGATCTCGTAGAGATTCGCCCGCTTGTCACCCGAACCCGTTACCACAAACTTGTCATCTGGCGAGATGTCACAAGTTAGTACAGAGGCGGCTTCTTTGGTCTAAAAGGAAAGGAATGGTGAAGACCAAATGGAGGAAGACTACTTCCCATGCCGGAAATGTCACTAACCTCGAGGAGACAAGCGCCATAGGGGGTCCTCCATGCGTTTACCTGATGATCTTTGCCGGTGGTGATGAACCAGTCGGCATGATGCGCGAAGCGGAGAGCGAGTACACAGCTTTCGTGGCGCGTCAGACGGAAATGTTGGTCATAGGCAGGAGCCTGAGGGCTGGAAACAGCTGCGCTGGTAGTTTGTGGGCTGACTGGTGGTTTAAGAAGAGTGGCAGAATTGGGAGGAGTGCCACCACCACTAGTAGAGGAGAGGGGAGCGGAGGATGGTGGACCATCGGGGCCGATGGCGACGACTTCGACCTCTGAGGACTCGAGGCCGACAGCTAGCCACTGCGAGCCGTAAAAGAGAGATTCAGAGGGGGCTGCGTCTTCTGTTCCCATAGGAGATGCAGCTGCTGCTAGGCTGGGTCTACGACCATGCATGCCGTAGATGGGGGAGAGACCCAATGAGAAGACTTGTGATTTAAACTCGACGTGGTGGAGCCTATTGGATGACTGCAAGACACACGATACAATGTTTATGGAAGTGAACGAAATGCTTAGTCATTAGTTAGGGTGCACAAAGTGCGGTTAATAATAATTCTCAGTTACAATGTTAACAGAAATAATTTGTATGCCCAATGGCAGCGGGGAGGAAACTTTGGGTCTCAATTCATGAGGTAGCAAACAAACAATTTGCAGCACAACCATCACAATCGTGAGATCATTTGTTTGTTTGAGCATGAAGTGAATATACATTAACATCCATGGTTAATTAGAGACAAAATAAGCGTATGGTAAACCCAAACGCGAGTCTACCCCTACCGCACAAGGAGACACACGAAGCACACGCAACACATCGTCTGATTCTTAAATTGCCCCTCTTTCTCATTGCACGAGCAAAGGAGCACTCGATTCACTGAAAACTAGTCAACAGACCCGAACGCTGAGATTTCAGAGGAAAAGCTGATTACAGAGGCGGAATGCGTCCCTACCCTAAGGCTGATTTTTAAAAAGACTTAACAGTTACCTATAATCCAAAAACTGAAATTAGCCAAAAATGAAGAAACAACACCACCCAATGTTTTAGAGTAAAAATGGATGTATTCTGCATGTCTAGGTGCGAATGCTTAACAT